CTGTAAGTGAACGGGCACAGTCAGGTTTCAATAGCCAATCAGATCACGAGTCTCAGACTCGTGATCTGTTTCCTGTATCCTGACTTGTTCTCGTCTGCGTACTAGGGCTAGCGAGAAGGCCTTACGTCGAGACTGGCCGTGCGCGTTCGGTGATTGGATTAGCGCCTTTTCTGTTTCCTGAGAATTGTATCCTGACTTGTTGGACTTATTGGATGAGCGCCACCCGCGAGCGCTATCAATGCATTTTAACCCAAAATGGCTGAAGGAGAAGACATTGATCTGGTTGCGGAACTACTTTCCACACAATTTTCAAGACGGACCTTCCACCAAAAGCTGGATATTGTGCGAAGAGGTCGCCCAACTCCTGCGCTAGCTAACCTGTCCCAGCAAGGAAAAGGGTTTGTCCGTCATTTTCAGACGAGCAATTATGAACGCCACCCGTGGCTCACAGCCTCTGTTGAAATGCTGCAAATTGTACTGCTGGGAATGCCTATTGCTTGCAACTGACCGATTTGGTGTTTGGAGCCACACTGGATTGTTTTACTAAGGCAGCAAGGAAATGGCTGGGCCCTATACAAAAATGTATCAAATAAATCTGCTCACCTGCAATTTATAATGGCGCATTGGAGTCACCTTTGTGCACGAAAGTTCGTTCAATCTCAGCTGCTCAACATTTTCAGTTATTTGCTGTTGTATCGCCGATTTTCAAAATGCAAATGATCTGTTTATTTTCAAAGAATAGTTTGTTTTGTTATTGTTTGGTTGGTGTCTTATATGAAACTGCGACATTGCGCAATTTATTGGACAGACTTGTTTAAGATCATACAGCGTAATTTGGGTAGCATTTTATTTCGTATTTTTAAATCATCTTTTTATTTTTGACAATATCTGTAAATTTAGTTTCCTGCTCTTAATTGGGAATACATACTTGATGGTTTTAAATGGTCCTGAAATTAAGTGCTGCTTGACGAGCCTATGTTGTGTATGTATGTGACGTCACTGAAGGCCTAAGGTTGAAATGCACGGCTTGCCACTGCATGTGATAAATAGGAGAGCAGTCCAGTGGCAAACTATTTTTTTCGAGGATTTTGGAGATGAACAGTGAAATGGGGCGGAGGTTATTGTATTTGTTGGGGTCTGAACCTGTTTATTTTTTATTTTTATTTTTTTCAGGATTGGGGTGACAGCTGCGGTTTTGAAACATGATGGGACTATACCGGTGGAGAGTGTATCAATGGCTGAAATGAGGAGAAGGAGTGAGGAGAGACTGGATTTAACCAAGGCTGTGGGCAGGGGATCAAAGCTGACAAGTGAAGGACTTCGATTTAAGAATAAGATCGAAGATGGGGAGAGGCAATGCAATTATGTTAAGGTGTTGGTGAGTATTTTGTATGATCTCATTAAAAACAGCATTAATGAGTAGTAGTTGTTTAAAAATGTGAATATGTGTGAAATTAGAGAGTGGCTGGAGAATTTACCCTTCCAAGCTCCTTATCCTCCAGGGCCAACACCCCGGTGCTTTCAGTGAAGAGCTTCACTTTGACAGCAGGTAAGGGCTGGCTCGTTGTGAAATCTCCCTGGGTTCCCCAACTAGACACAGATTCATTAACAGGTCAGTACTGCTGTGAGGATTTCAGTGTCATATTTGGAGTCTCTCCTGCAGTTAAATATACGACTTCACTTGAGTGAAGGGAAGACTCCACTCTGGACGGATGGCCAATCCGTCACAGAGACATTTATGTGAAATGAGCCTGTAACAACTGCATGAAAATCACCCATTTGATTCAGGATATTACCACCATCAAAGTACAGAAGCTAAAAGTTTAAAATTCAATTTTCATAATTTTCTTACATTTATTTGGTGCTCAAATAAAGAAGCTAGTTTCCTCGATTCTGAGTCCAACAGGCTTTCACAGTGCTAGTGAGTGTGTTTATTTTTATTTTTTTAATCAAACCCACATGCACTGCATTTGTTCTGCTGAATTATCTACAAAAGATCCAATGATTTATATCACATCTGTTGTGCCACAGCTAAGATGAATGTTTTCTTTCCAAAAAGGAGATAAGTTAATTCATCAGTAAAACCAATAGAAAATGAATCTTGGCCATTTGTCAAAGAGCATTCTATTTTTAAATCCACTATAACTGTCTTGTTATGCAATAGACTGGATGTGTGAACAGAACAAATGGGTTACATTCACTACATGGCGCTGGAATGGTTTAACTAGTTTTGTAGGCATCCAACTAAGATTAGTGATTGACAGTGTGGTTCGTAAAAAACAACATTTAAAAATGTCATTTTGTGTTTAACTATTCACCATAAGGTGGCAGTACTATACAAATGTTTCCATGCATTTCATGTCTAAATTGCTTGGTGATGGTAAGGGTCAGTTTAATCTGGTGCCTATCCCAGTTGATTTTGGACAAGAGGTGTGTTTCCCCCTGGTTTTGTTTCCAGGCAATATCAGCGAGAGCAACAAACCATTTGCATTCTGATTCCCATTCACTCACCCTGTATACATGTTTTTGGAATGTGGGAGGCCAGAGTAAAATTCACCTCAGCACACTCTCTTGGTTGTTGTAAGGCAGACATGCTGACCACAACACCAACTTAGTGCTGTCACACAATATCTCGGGCAGTAACATGTTTACATGTGGGACCCATACCTTTTCACAGTAATGTCGTAACAGTATTTGAAGTCCAATAGGGAGTACCACAGAGATGCACAGAAATCGACGCTGAGTAAATCTACGTTCACTATGTTTTGAGGCTAACATGGTAAACTAACTATTCCATTTCTCCATTTTCTAAACTAATTAGGTATACAGGTGATCTTATCCCAGCTGATTTCAGGTTGTAGGTGGGGTACTCTCTTAAATCACAGTCAATCACAGGTCACTTATAAACAGAGAAGGAATTCACACCTATAGGCGATTCAGAGTGCTCACTAAAGCTAAGAATCATGTTTTCCTGAATGTGGGAGGAAGAATTGATCTCATCTGGGTTCTAAAGACAACAACTTTACCACGCCACAATAACTATTAGAGCATGATGTTGACGACTTATTCCATGTTTTTGGCTTGAGGACGAGGTAAAGATGCTCGCCGAGACAAATGAGTGTGGAGAGTAAAATTTGTTCAACATCTTCGTTTATTCAAATTGTCTTCTATTTTTAAATAAACAGCTCTGGAAAGTGAGGGGAAAAAAGCAGGATGCCCGAGCAGGATTTAGAACTTTTTTTAGCTCTCATGTTAGGAATTATTCTACTGCGTAAATGTCTGTGAGGTAGTAGGATGTGTGTCGTGGAGACTTACGTGGGTTTAGATGCCTCAGCCTGGTCTGTCTGCAGTTTGTGGCCACCCTCTACCTCCATGGTGCAGTACACGATTCTGTTTGGGGCCAAAGACTTAAGACCCTGCACCTCCATGATAACCACCTGTAACACACAATCACATGTTAACATAATGCAAGAGGCCAAATGAAATGGTTCAATATGCTTTCAACTTTGAAAATGCGACAATTCTTGTATTTGCTCTTGGAGCATTGCATTTTTCTACAAACCCACCATTTTAACAGAAAGAAATATTGGTATAATAAATGAAATGACATGAAAACTTTTTTTGCCAAAATTGATGACAATTATCAATATCACCATAGAAAACTGTGAGAGTCAAGTCAAATGCATTCGCATCAACCTGCATCACAAAATAGTCTCAATGGGCTTCACAAGCCCATAGTTGATAAAGATTAATGACATCTGCTGTGGACATTGTAGATGTAAGCATTACAATTTAGCTTTTGCAATTCATTCATGTAAGCCAACCCTAACATTGATATCAAACATAGTTTCAAAAACCTTAATTTGGGGTTTTTAAAATTGTACACTAATTTTCACAATTTTCATCCCCCATACCCGATAGCAGTTCCGCCCACTGAGAATGATTAAAAAAAACAACAAAAAAAAAAAACAATGACTCAAATGGTATGATGCCCGCCATTCACATATTATAAATGTGAATGAAATATGTCGCGTTCGACCCTGCCACTTAGAATCGTTCTGAGCAGGCTTCAGGTTTCGATCAACCTTTGAGTCACGAAAATATCACACCGTGTCCAAGATACTCTTTCTGCTGCGCTGGCTCGCCTAGCTTGCCAGAGACAAAATGGCAAATACGAAAATCAGCATCTACTGGCATTTGCGCTGTGGCACGGGTCCCCCCAAAATAGAGCCATAAACGTCTCAATTGTGACTTGCAAGGTCAGATTGTGAGTCGACGTTTGCTTGGGTAGGGTTGAAAGTAGATTGACAGTGCAGAGTGACTTTAATCACATTTACAGTACCAGTCGAAAGTTTGAAAAGGCAAACAATTGAGTGTTTTTTCATGATTTAAACATTTCCTGACTTGTAGATTGATACTGAAGTTATCGACTTGATGAAGAAATATGGATGGAATTATTTGGTAAACAAGAAAATTAATCACAACAGAATATGTTGTATAATTTAGATTCCAGAAGGTAGGCACCTTTTGCCCAGATAACAGCTTTGCACATCTTTGTATATTCTCAGTCAACTTGATGGTGAGGATGATGCTATATGACCTGGACTGATTTTCACCTTCCCGCTGTGCATCATCATGAGTGAATAGCATGAAATTCTTCACCTCTTAATGTATCAGTACAGTATTGTATCCGTGTATTGATGGAATGCCATCGAAGTTGGAAGGCGATCTCAGCAGCAGTAACAAAGATATGTACTGTAGCTTCTGATAGGAACTTGCACCTCCGTCAATACAAACATATTTATTAATTACCATATTTAGTAACTTTTATTTACAGTACAAAAAAAGAATCTGTTCACTCACCTCCAAGGTAAACGAAAGCACCACGTCAGATTTGGAAAGGGTGTTCTCATCCTCTTGTCCCATGTCCATGATTGATGTGTTGTGACCTCGTTTCAGTTTCTGAAGCTTAAATTCTCCACCTTTCGACACTGGCATGCTCTCCAGGTTGGCCATCAGCAGGTTGACTGAGGACCGTAGCTCTTCGATGAACATGGTCTCCATCTCCCTCGAGGCGAACCGAGGGAATCTTCCGCCAAGCTAATTGAACCAGGAAGATAACATATTGATTAGCTGTTCACTGTGGCAGCAGGAGTGTTGTGTACACAGAGCAAGAACGTTATAGGTGAAGATTATATGCTGTTTTGTTGCAGAGGACGGTTGTCCAAAATATTAAAGGTGCTGCACAGTGCATGACATTATTTTGATACTTAATCGGATGAAAGTTTTTCCAGAAAATCTGATGCAATTGATATTTGCACTCTTAATATTAAAACACACTTCCTAATCGAAGAAAATTAGGAAAATTAATTTTCAATGGTGTGTTCTTCAACACCAGGTGTGCTAATAATTATGGCACACATGATTTAATGTAAAACAAGTATTTCTTAATGTGGGATTCTTTTTTTTTTTACGCCCCCCCCCCCACACACACACACTGTATAAATGCACTTGAATTAAAGAGGTCATTTTTTAATTTTGGTCCTTTTAGAAAAAATAAAAATAAAACAACTATAACTGCCAAAAAATATGGAAAATTTATCTTTATTACAACAAATAATATCAAATGTTATGCATTATTGACGACTGAGGTTAATGCAAATGACGCATTGATTAAAATGAAAGGTGGGTTATCTACTACAATTCCAGGTATAAACTTTATATATTATAAATATTTTAACCCGCGCTTTGGTTTGCATTCACCTATGACAGCATAATTCTGCCACACAGTTGTGGTGTGAACATAATTTTAATATACTATATTGTGAAGGCACAAACTCAAGTGCAGATTAACATAATCATGTACACCAGGGGTGCCCAACAAGTCGATTGCAGTCACCTGGTAGTCCACGGACTGGTCCCAAGTTGATCGCAAGGGCTGTGGGGGAAAGGAAAAAAAAAAGATTTGTGTGTCTGTGCGCGTGCTACTGTTTTATATTTTTGTGTTAGTGTACACTACACCCAAAGCATCCTATCAGTTTCAGTTTCATAAAAAAAGTATTTAAAAAAAAAAATAAAATGAAGTAAAAAAGCCGGTCACCGGAAGCTCTTAGCGGTCAGCAAGCTGCAATTGAAGCAATATACTGTATCTCTTTTTTTTCCTCATTCAAAAATTGTTCCCTCTGCAATTCAACGCTGGCACTGGCAAAGAATGGGAATCTGGAGCGCCAGGAGAAGCATTTTAATACATTACATGTCCAACTACGATACCCGACGTCACACACAACAACAGCTAAGCTAAGCTAGCCGAGACGACACTCGAAGTCGGACAGACACGTTTTTCTGCCAATCTGTGCGTTTCCCTTTTTGTCCGAATATATTTTTTACGACAACTGTCTTGTCCACGGTGTCTTTTATTCGTTCCACTGGGGTTTAGCAAATGTGTTGATAAAGAGACGAAAATCTCTACTGTTACTAGTGTTAGTGTCTCAACATGGTTACGCTCGTGAAAGCGAAACAACGAACTCAAACGCGTCTTCGTTCAATGTTGTCAACTAATATTCAGATTAATTTTAGGCGAATTTTCCTCAATTCTCCGGAGAGATTTTCATAAAAATGTGAAAAACCCGGAATTCCGGGAAAATCCGGAAGACTTTCATCTCTGCTGTATTTAGAAAAAATAAAAATAAAACAACTATAACTGCCAAAAAATATGGAAAATTTATCTTTATTACAACAAATAATATCAAATGTTATGCATTATTGACGACTGAGGTTAATGCAAATGACGCATTGATTAAAATGAAAGGTGGGTTATCTACTACAATTCCAGGTATAAACTTTATATATTATAAATATTTTAACCCGCGCTTTGGTTTGCATTCACCTATGACAGCATAATTCTGCCACACAGTTGTGGTGTGAACATAATTTTAATATACTATATTGTGAAGGCACAAACTCAAGTGCAGATTAACATAATCATGTACACCAGGGGTGCCCAACAAGTCGATTGCAGTCACCTGGTAGTCCACGGACTGGTCCCAAGTTGATCGCAAGGGCTGTGGGGGAAAGGAAAAAAAAAAGATTTGTGTGTCTGTGCGCGTGCTACTGTTTTATATTTTTGTGTTAGTGTACACTACACCCAAAGCATCCTATCAGTTTCAGTTTCATAAAAAAAGTATTTAAAAAAAAAAATAAAATGAAGTAAAAAAGCCGGTCACCGGAAGCTCTTAGCGGTCAGCAAGCTGCAATTGAAGCAATATACTGTATCTCTTTTTTTTCCTCATTCAAAAATTGTTCCCTCTGCAATTCAACGCTGGCACTGGCAAAGAATGGGAATCTGGAGCGCCAGGAGAAGCATTTTAATACATTACATGTCCAACTACGATAGTGATGTTCATACACTTAACGTGCTGCAAAAGTGCGTCCCATGCTTTTGTGTCAGCTTTAGGTAGGCAGTGATTTCCTTTTCGCAAACTCACAAACTCTTGTATCTATTTTATTTTTCTGTTTCGGTCATGCTAGGGGCCTTTATGGCTGTTGCTTATGATGAAATGCGTGCATGTGCATGCGCGCATTCTGTGCGTGTGTATTCGTGCACACATTTTAGTTATCTGGTCCGTGTTTTGTATTTATTTTCTTTTTCAATCCCATAATGTCAATGATTTAATCATGAAAATTAATAAAATTGCTAAATTTGTATATTTCTTGTTCAGAAACATGGGAGACGCTCTTGCACAACGCCTCCAGTGACTACGCACACATGAATTGCTGACGCAGCCAGTTGACGCGTGCCCTTACACAAGCGACATTGCTGTTTGGCTTTATATCGTCAATAGACAAGTTTTATCACACATGTACTGCACATGCTGACGTTCAACAGTCTGATATAATTAAGGTGTGTGACATATTTACTCCCACTGCCAGAAAAGCGAGTGAAAGTGCGCAGCAGAGCCAAGAAAGTACAGAGCCGCTGCCGACTGGTGTCAGTGCTGAGCTCCATTGGCGCAATGTGTGGAAGCACTCTTCCCATAGGCATACATAACCACCACTCCATGGGTGATTGAGGATGTGCGGATTCAGCCGCATCTTTAACGAGGAGTCCCCAGTGGTCGCTTCCATTCACTTGTATTGAGATAACTGTGTATGGCTCCAGTAAATTAATAAGATCGTGAAATCCTCTATCGATTTTGACACGGGTTGCTTTGTTAGAAACATCACACATGCATTTAATGACACCAGATGCTGGTTTTCAAAATATATTCAGTACTTTTCAAGATGGCGCCATAGTTGGCAGCTGTCGGCAAGAGCTCTTCAAGAAGTTTGCTTTTTGTTGTTTTTTTTGTTTTTTGTTTTGTCTTATGGTGTTAGTTGTCCTTCGTGCGGACCCGATGCGAACTATTTTCAGGGTTTTGGCCACGACATTCATTGAAGGAGAAGAATCTGTGCTTGATGGGTACACTATTTCGGCAGCATGCGTGTACCATCACTGATTTTGATTTCGAGGAGGGGGGCGGATGTCGGCACTATTTGACTGTTGCCGCTCAACAGCCATGTGGCACTTGTATTTTTTGCGCAGCCGCATCTTTAACGAGGAGTCCCCAGTGGTCGCTTCCATTCACTTGTATTGAGATAACTGTGTATGGCTCCAGTAAATTAATAAGATCGTGAAATCCTCTATCGATTTTGACACGGGTTGCTTTGTTAGAAACATCACACATGCATTTAATGACACCAGATGCTGGTTTTCAAAATATATTCAGTACTTTTCAAGATGGCGCCATAGTTGGCAGCTGTCGGCAAGAGCTCTTCAAGAAGTTTGCTTTTTGTTGTTTTTTTTGTTTTTTGTTTTGTCTTATGGTGTTAGTTGTCCTTCGTGCGGACCCGATGCGAACTATTTTCAGGGTTTTGGCCACGACATTCATTGAAGGAGAAGAATCTGTGCTTGATGGGTACACTATTTCGGCAGCATGCGTGTACCATCACTGATTTTGATTTCGAGGAGGGGGGCGGATGTCGGCACTATTTGACTGTTGCCGCTCAACAACCATGTGGAACTTATATTTTTTGCCGGTGTAATGGGCAGCGTTTCTAACAGCCTCGCTTTGTACAGCGGAGATCTCTGCACTGTTGGACTGTCTGCGGTGGTGTGGCTGGATTGATGGCTGGTGGAGCCAAGGATGAGGACTGAGGCACGTATGCGTATTTGGAACTGAGAGTCACCGCTTGGAATTGAAGCGGATTAACATGGGATGGGAGAAGTGAACTGTACACAAACTCTTGTATCTATTTTATTTTTCTGTTTCGGTCATGCTAGGGGCCTTTATGGCTGTTGCTTATGATGAAATGCGTGCATGTGCATGCGCGCATTCTGTGCGTGTGTATTCGTGCACACATTTTAGTTATCTGGTCCGTGTTTTGTATTTATTTTCTTTTTCAATCCCATAATGTCAATGATTTAATCATGAAAATTAATAAAATTGCTAAATTTGTATATTTCTTGTTCAGAAACATGGGAGACGCTCTTGCACAACGCCTCCAGTGACTACGCACACATGAATTGCTGACGCAGCCAGTTGACGCGTGCCCTTACACAAGCGACATTGCTGTTTGGCTTTATATCGTCAATAGACAAGTCTTATGTTATGTGTTGTGTTATACTATTTTGTTATTTTATTGTTATTTATGTTAATTGTTCTGGAAAGCATTTTGTTACAACTGCAGCTAATGTGAAAGTGGTATATCAATTTAAAAAATGTATTGTATTGTACTTTGTATTTTGTATAAATAGGGTGATTGAGGATGTGCGGATTCAGCCGCATCTTTAACGAGGAGTCCCCAGTGGTCGCTTCCATTCACTTGTATTGAGATAACTGTGTATGGCTCCAGTAAATTAATAAGATCGTGAAATCCTCTATCGATTTTGACACGGGTTGCTTTGTTAGAAACATCACACATGCATTTAATGACACCAGATGCTGGTTTTCAAAATATATTCAGTACTTTTCAAGATGGCGCCATAGTTGGCAGCTGTCGGCAAGAGCTCTTCAAGAAGTTTGCTTTTTGTTGTTTTTTTTGTTTTTTGTTTTGTCTTATGGTGTTAGTTGTCCTTCGTGCGGACCCGATGCGAACTATTTTCAGGGTTTTGGCCACGACATTCATTGAAGGAGAAGAATCTGTGCTTGATGGGTACACTATTTCGGCAGCATGCGTGTACCATCACTGATTTTGATTTCGAGGAGGGGGGCGGATGTCGGCACTATTTGACTGTTGCCGCTCAACAACCATGTGGAACTTATATTTTTTGCCGGTGTAATGGGCAGCGTTTCTAACAGCCTCGCTTTGTACAGCAGAGATCTCTGCACTGTTGGACTGTCTGCGGTGGTGTGGCTGGATTGATGGCTGGTGGAGCCAAGGATGAGGACTGAGGCACGTATGCGTATTTGGAACTGAGAGTCACCGCTTGGAATTGAAGCGGATTAACATGGGATGGGAGAAGTGAACTGTACCAATCTCTTTTTTCGTCAATGGACACTACAGCTTTGTGTTTACGGTACTTTCAAACTTAGCTTGTGGCAAACTTTTTTTGAGAATGACATATCTAATCCACTGGTGAAAGTACACTTTAATGCTCTTCTCTTTCATCTAGAACTGTCTCAACAACAAAGCGTATGCTGAAATAGTGGTTTATGATTGCCCGACTGTCTGTCTACTCTTATGTTATGTGTTGTGTTATACTATTTTGTTATTTTATTGTTATTTATGTTAATTGTTCTGGAAAGCATTTTGTTACAACTGCAGCTAATGTGAAAGTGGTATATCAATTTAAAAAATGTATTGTATTGTACTTTGTATTTTGTATAAATATAAGACCAAAGGCTTCATAATAATAATGAAATAAATAAAGAAAGAAAGAAAGAAAGAAAGAAAGAAAGAAAGAAAGAAAGAAAGAAAGAAAGATGAGGACAAAAAAACCCCGGCAACAACATTGTACTTGGCCTTACGTTAAATATTCTGCTAAATATTCACGTGAGACCACCATCACGCTAAGTAAGTGTCCTGCCCCGAGGATCCAAGACCCATAGCAACTTTCACGTGAAGTTCAGAGTTCAGCCAATGGACTTCACAAAAGCACCTCAAAACAAAAAGGTAAACAGCCTTGCACTGTTGACGTAGATTAGCATTAGCTAAAAGCACTACCTGGGTTAGTTTTTGCTACATGGCACATACTTGGCTCTGTTGTCTACGTTGGGATATGTGTTCAGACGAAATGTAATTGGGCTACATGGGGATGAAATGCGGCCTATGTAAGTCGAAATGCAATAAAATCTTAATGAGCGCTTGATTTATGGGGGTTATGGTTGAATTAGCCAGTGGTGGCTTTGTGCAAATTTCATTCATTTGCAGTCTGGATGCCGAGGGGTGAATCACTTCATCAAAGCCAAAATGTACTGATACTCATTGAGTTTTGTTGGATGCACAGATTTGCTTCCGCCCTGTGGTGCACACTGAATTTCTTGATGAAGCTGTCGACGCGGTGGGGGTGGGGGCATTTTTGTATTTGGTGTTGTCTCCGCTGTGCAGCACACTAATGTCTGAATGTGAATTAACACATTTAATTTGGCAGCTGGGTGGTGCCTCCATAAGCTGTCAAGTTGTGTTGTAACTCCTACATGCTTCATTTCACAGTTGCTTTTTTTTTTCAATTCGGGGGTTCCAAGTGCAGCCAGGTGAAACATAGCCAACCCCTCGAAACTATACAATTGTTGATCGTTCAGCTATTTTCACGACAGCAGGATCACCAACATGTAATTAAGGCACAATAAAAACACAAACAACATTAATGATATTACATTGTTGCCAAATTAATTCTACATCCATATCATCATCATCATCATCATCATCACATAATCAATCATGATTAGGACACTTTGGACATTCATTCTTATTTGCTTACACGGGTGATCTGGTCTGCCATTTGTAACCGTCCATCCAGCTCTCTTCTGATCTGTGCTGCCTGCTCATCTGGGTTGTCCAGCTGGGGGAAAAGAGGAAAAGTGTTGCAATGGAATTTCAGTAAAAAGCAATTGCTTGCCATACTAGCTAGAGCAAGTCAATACGTGTCATAGTAATGATGAAGTCACATGTGAAGATACTTAGTGCCAAGAGCTCTAAGCATGAATTGTTTTGAAAACCATTCAGGAAAACAATTTATACCATATCATGTGCAACTAAAATACACTTCTGTTACAACTTTAATCTCATACACTCCCTGCAGGACACTCTCATCTTCTGAGGTTTGGTTATCCCTCATCGGCAATTGTCATTGTCACAGTCAGCCTTATACAAACAATGAATAAAGAAAAAAAACATGTTTACAAAAACAAACAAACTAACAAAAGAGATTTATATTATGCGTAGAGCATTTGAGTGTTTCATATAACACTGGGGAGCAAACTTTTTCGTTGAGTTCGGTCTGGTAGCTGATTTGTTGGTTGTGTGAGGAATCCAAAAATGATTTGTGTTTTTCTATCACATCAAGTTAATGAGCTATCGGATCCCCATTTTCCTAAAAAATTAAAATCAAATAAAATAAATGTGTATGTATGTAAATACAACACAAAGATGAAGTAGTGACAAGCTTTGAAAACAAAAAAACACGTATAAAATGAAAGTGAAAAGCTTGCACTAATCCTCATGATTGCTACTTTGCAAGCTTTCTGTTTGCAGATGTTGAGAGCACTGACCAAATGAGACATGCACACACCTCTCACCGCATTGTCTCAAGTATGACTGGACAAAGAAGTTACCACACAGCTGCAGATGAGTTTACTCACGATTAGCTGGCAAGTCTTCCCATAGCTAATCAGTTGAATTTTGTTTATAATGTAAGCTGTGGAGAGAAAAACACTTGAATGATCGAAATAAAATGACTGCAATTTGGAATCAGAATACCAGTTGTAGTTTAATCATCAGCATAAAAATCTTTTTTTTTCCTGTTTTTTTCCTCAAAAAAAAAATAAATAAATAAATAAATTGTGTGTGTGTGTGTGTGTGTGTGTGTGTGTGTGTGTGTGTGTGTGTGTGTGCGCGTGTGTGCACCTTATT